CTGGTCTGAACTGGAAAGCACAGCTTGTGTGTGTGGCTGGGAACAGGCACGGGACCGTCAGCCAGAGGGTCCTGATGGGATCATCCCGCTCGCCGTGGCCCCTGTCAGCCACGAAATTGGGAAGTGTTGTCGTCACGGAGGCTGTCCCAGCACGCTGGGGGAGCCGCAAGGAAATACACAAAGAATTAAAATAGTTAAACCCACGAGCAATGAATCAGAGTTGATAGCGCAGGGATTACTAAGTAACCCAGAGGGGTTACTGGAATCGCCGCCGCTGTTCGATATCAAATATCTGGGATAGCTAAACGGGAAGCTCAGCTCCACACCAGTTTTTGGTGATCCTCACCCCGAGGTCGCCTGACCCGCAATAAACGGCGGCGTGCAAATAAACACCAACCCCCACCCTCCCCCAGCTTTGCTCCGCGACTCACGTTCGGAGCCATACCTGGCTGAAATATGCAGTGGTGTTTTTTAAACTAATATTTACTCCTGCTAGACCTGCACAGCCACTGTGGCTCTGGGGGAGGGAGCCAGAGCCGCTCTGACTCATGGCTCAGCAGAGTTGTTAACTCACTCCCGGCACCCCAGCCCTCATCCCAGTGTGCTGGGAAGAGTCCACCTTGGCTTCCTGGGCTGCAGGCAGCTGGCTGTGCTTGTAAAGTCACCAAACAGGCTCAGAAAGTCATTGGAAACTAAAAGACTTTTAGTGCCTTGCACTGAGGTTTGGGGTTTGTTTGTCTTACCCAGATTATTTGCAGAAGAAAGTTGACTTTCAATAGCTTATGCACAGATTTGGGATCATTGCATTCTGCAGGATGCTCCACCATTAGAAGCACCAAAATTTAAAATATCCTTGTGTTCTCCTGCAATACCATGGGAGTTATGGCACAAGCAGACACTGGATTTTCCGGGAGAAGTTTCCTTTGCCTTGCACTGCCCCATGCAAAGCACACATACAGCCCCAAAATGTAAAGCTGAGACATCTCTGTGGACTTCTGCACAAAGCCATGATGCCTCTTTGTGCAGTCTCTTATAAATAGACTCACTGGACACTGGTGGAGGTTTTAGTTGCCTTCCTCTGCGCTTGGCTAAACAAATGCCAAACCTTCTTAAATCTAAATTACTCGAAATATTTACTGTTGAGACGTCGTCCAAGAGGAGGATAGTTAAAACATTAATTCCTCACATTCCAGTGTATTAGGGCTTTACCCTGCGACTTGCTGAGCGCCAGGAATGGGACTTTGCAGATTCAATTCCCTTCCCCCCAAGTAGACAGCCACCCCCCATACACCCACCCACCCCCCCAAACTTTAATG